CCCCATGCACCGTAGACACACACGTGTAGTCATGGGCACTATGAATTCACTGTGCCATGAGTTTTTTTCCGGTCCATTTCCTTTTTTTAAAAAAAAAAAATTTTGCTCCTTCACGTACGGACATGATTGAACGCTGATTTGGCTAAGATCATTAACGGATAATAAATTGAAAGAAAAAGGACCATGTTGAAAAACACGAAAGAGAAGGGTGGTGTTTTCAATTACTTTGGTGAAATGTTCAATTTAATCCTCATATATTTTGAATTATAAATATTAGGTCTCTGTAATTTTTGAGATTTTTAAAAAATAATTTTGATCCAAAACTTAAATATCTTTATTTTTAGTTGCTAATTTGAAAGATAATTAAAAACAATTATTATGGATACCACTTTTAACCATCAAAATAGTTGATTTTAGTATTAACATGAATTATTTAATAAAATCTTTTTATTTATATATTTTTTCACATTACCTAAAATAATTCAAAATAGCTATTGAAAACAAGATTTACAAGGATGAAAAGCTACATTTATCAACTCTACAATCACATTTTTATTTGATTTTTTTTAAATTAATAATTTTAGTATTGCATGATAAAAAAAAAAATTACAATCATAAATTAATTTATCAATTAGAGAATCATATATTCATGAAATTATTATGAATTATTTTAAGCAAAAATAAAAAGGAAAAAGAAAAGGCAGAGGCCCATTAAGCCCAGGGCCGAGGCCCTTGTCCAAACAGAAAGGTGGACATTTAGCCCGTCAGCGTGACATATGATAAAAAAATAAAATAAAATGATGGGCTCGTGTACGACGTGTAGTGTGGAGTGTAAATGAGGCGCTCGGATTGCATTGTACTGTATCGTGTAGTCTCGTCTTCCTCCTCCTCTCTGATCTGGACCTCCAAAATTGTGAGAAGCATAAATATAAAAAGAGAAATTAGGCCGTACTAATTAGGGTTTGTTCTTGGCTTTGAATAATTAGAATTTAAATTTAAGAAATGGAGATCTCAGAGAAGAAGGAACCAGAAAACAACAATAACATTTCACAAACAGCGACACTTGATTCATCTTCAACAACTGATATCATCGATAAAGAATCCGAAGAACGCCAAGCACGCGAACTCAAAGCTGGCTTGCATCCCCTCAAGGTTCCCAACCCCCCTCTCTCTCTCTCACCCTCTCCTATGCGTGTTTGCTATTTTCTTTTATTGTTGCGATTTGGTAGTTTTTCTGCGATGGGTTGTGTGATTCGTCTTTTCTTTTTTCGTATAATTTGTGGTTAGTATTTTGGCTTTTCAATTTGATTGTTTTCAATTTTTTGCAAAGTCCGGCTGACTTAGGTTTTTTTTTTTAAGTCTACATTTTTCATTTCATTTGTTTATTTTAACCAATCCCAAATCTCCACGTGTGCTTTCCAGTTCCAGTTGCATTTCTTAGCTCAAAAATTGAGCTTGGAAGCTCATACATACTATCTTAATTATGTAGATAATTGATTAAAATTCAAAACTTGATTATAATGAATCGTGATTCTTAGAAACAAGTGGGGGGAGGAGCAAGTGCAGTTTTTAAAAAACCATATGGTCCCCAAGTGATTGAAGCAGAAAGATACTACTCTTTATCACCCCTAGCTGTAGTTTTCCTGCTTCTTAAAACTCAGCTCCTGGTGTTGTTTCAAAGAAGCATTTTGTTGTCCTTTTGAAACCATTTTCACGTGGCTCTGCAAGGAAAATTGCTGATGGAAAACCTGTTGTCTGTTGCATATCTTCTTACCTCGCCCCAAGTGACTTGTGTTTGTTCTACTGGAAGCATTTTAACTTCTCTCCTTTGCACAGTAAATAGATCCATGCTTACTGGTATGGTTCGAAGGTGTAAGGCCTACATAAAACTTGCGGTCAAACTAGGTTTTTGTGTTTTCTTGATTGTTTGATTGTACAATATGGGAGCATAGTTACCTTCGCTGATAATTTTAATAATACCATATGTAGCTCTTCTTTGATATAATTCACGATGAGTCTGTTTAAGTAGTTGCTTATTTTGCTCTGACTTGTTTATGTTCAGAACAAGTTCATATTTTGGTACACTCGTCGAACGCCTGGAGTTCGAACACAGACATCATATGAGGACAATATAAAGAAAATCGTTGAGTTCAGTACTGTAAGTTCTATTGTAATTTTAGATTGTTTGGTAATATATTAGTTGAGATATATCCTCATGTAAATAGATGTTCTTTTTCTTGATTCATATGCTGACTGGACTTCTGGCATGATGGACATGCAGGTTGAAGGTTTTTGGGTCTGCTATTGCCACCTGGCTCGACCTTCTTTACTGCCGAGCCCAACTGATCTGCATCTTTTCAAGGAAGGAATCCGTCCTCTATGGGAGGTAATGTTGCAAACCTGAAGTTGCAATAGCTATTATTTAGTTTTTGCTTTAATTTAATCACATCATAGTTGTTGAGAACTTTCTAATGTTGTGCTGAATTTGAATGTAAAAAAATCTTGACATTTGTTATTTTTTAGGACTCTGCTAACTGCAATGGTGGCAAGTGGATCATAAGATTCAAGAAGGTTGTCTCTGGTCGCTTTTGGGAGGATCTGGTAAGAGGAAGCTGGAATTAAATTTTCTTTGCTGGCATCATGCAAAAACTTGATTATCTTGTTAAGTTTGACGGTTGAAAATTTTTATGAACATAATTGGATTTTCATCACCAAATCCCGGAAGTTTTGTTTGACTATGCACGCACATGCATACAGCATGTTGTGTGGATGCTATTTGTTATTTTTGGCGCATGCCATGTTATATTTATCTGTTTTGAATCATTTTTATCCAAAAAATGGATGTTATGGAACTTGAACTCATGAATTTCCTGGTTCGTTACCAAACCAACCACCACGTGATAATGACTGGTAACATCTCGAGGTCTTATTAGTTTCATAGCTGGATTGGGTTATTTGGTGGTATCCTTGCAGCAAACCTTGGTTTTCATAAGCTATGAAAAGGAAACTCTTAAGGGTTTGAATTCTGTGGTTTTGAATCTGTAACTGCTTTTATATAGCTACCTTTTCTTTTTTTGTTTTAAATCGTCAATGCAGTTGAGGTCATGGACGATAGAATGTACTGGCTGCTTTTGTAGGTGTGGCTGTCAGCAGTGAAGCTGAAATCCTAGATTTTAGCTGTGAAGTTTGGTCCCCCTCACCTATATTGGAAAGAAGTGTTTTGTAGTTCAATGGTAGCCTTTCCTTTAAGTTGGCATTTCTGTATCTGGTATTGAATTCTACTTGCAAATGCTCTTTACAGGTTCTTGCCCTGGTGGGTGATCAACTTGATTACAGTGATGACATATGCGGTGCGGTGCTAAGTATCCGTTACAATGAGGATATACTTAGTGTGTGGAATCGCAATGCATCAGATCGTCAGGTTAGTCAATATTAGTTGCTATTGTTCTAATTGTTGTGTTCCACTCTTTCCTCTTGCTAATTGTAGTGGTCTACTCTTTCCTCTATCCTGTAAATAGTGAACTTCAATTTTCATCTATATCCTTTCCTTTTGCATTCAATTAAGAGCGTTCCTCGTGTCCTAGAGAAAAAAAGTGAACACTTATTTTCTTCTGCAGGGCGTGATGGCTTTAAGAGATTCAATCAAAAGGCACTTGAAGCTTCCCCACAGCTATGTAATGGATTACAAGGCTCATGATGCTTCTCTGCGGGACAACTCATCATACAGAAACACATGGTTGAGAGGGTAGAAGTGTTCTGAACTACGTGCTGGACGAGAAACAGTGCAGAGGTCCCAGGCCCCTTGCTTCACATCAGAATTCCTTCTCTGATCAAGTTGTTCATTCTTATTACAGCTTAGCAACCTGTGTGGTCGTTGCCTTCATATCATGTAGTTGAAGTGTAGACTGTATCAAGCTAAACTAAATATTGGTTTTAATGAATTAGTAGCTTTGCTTCTGGATACTATGGTCGGTTGCAAGTACTTTTATTCTGAATGCAAGCTTTGTTTATCAATAAAATGTTTCACTATGGTCGGTTGCAAGTACTTTTATTCTGAATGCAAGCTTTGTTTATTAATAAAATGTTTCGTTACATGTGTGTGCAGTCCATTTTTATCAGTCTTGAATACAAGGCCTGCGCAAAATTTGTTTCTGAAAGGGGGAAAAGAAAAATTGAACATTCGGCTTTTTATCTTATGGTTTTTACTTCAAATGTCAATGCCACAATGGTGGTGGCGCCAGCACTGAATCGCAGGTGGACTCTATAAATCTACTTGGCAATCTATATTCTGCAACTGCATTAATGGGGTGGTGAGTTGTCTCACCCTCGGATGGTAGGTATTGGAGGACTGGTGCCAAATCAGTTTGGCAAGTGGTGAGTCTTGGGACTGGGGGTGGAAGAACAAAGCTTTGGACATTTTTGTATATTTAAGGTGAAAAAGAAATCGAGGTAGTTGTAAAAAGACGATTATTTCCAACGGAGGACATGGAGCGTGAGGCGAGCTGCTGTATTATCTCAGTAGTCTGCGAGAGCTTCTATCATATGCATGAGATAGCAAAATTAAACCTTCCTGGCTACTGGGGATTATCAAAGCCTGGGGACACAACCGTCTCCTGATGAAGCAAGCAAAATTAAACCTTCCTGGCTACTGGGGATTATCAAAGCCTGGGGACACAACCGTCTCCTGATGAAACAAGCAAAATTAAACCTTCCTGGCTACTGGGGATTATCAAAGCCTGGGGACACAACCGTCTCCTGATGAAACATTATGCTCTCCGATAGATTGCTTGAGCATTATGCCTGCAATTATCGACTGCTCTTAAGGAGCAAATAAGAAGGCAGACAGTGACAAGAATTCGAAACGTTTATTTCAGAACAGTAATCAGATAAATTTCACGAGATTTTTACGGCAGGAATGAGCGACAAGACATCATATATTTGTTCTTTTTCTTAAAGATAAGGGATTCATTGCATATCCCAGAGAAATTAATGCAAAAGCATACCCATCAGAGACCATGACACCATATACCACATGCAAAAGAAAAAGTAAAACTTTTCAAGCCATGGCGATAGATTGACAATCTGAATATTCCGAGTTCACATAGATTTTGTTATTGGGAGATTACAACTTCGCATAGGTGTGTTGGACGAGACCCTGCAAAACTTAGAAGGACGTTCTTCCTCTTCTCACTGCTTCAGTTTTTACCAGAAGGGCATCTTGATGAAGTAACCCCTCAAACCAAGTATCAACTCTAAACAGATGATTTGAGCCCAATGATGCCTGTCCAAATAACGTAACAAATGTCAGGCTTGTGTATAAGCAAAAAGATTTTAATTGAAAAATAAATCACATGCAACACTCACTCCATTCCATCTCATGGCCCAGAATATTACTCGCTAAAGGTTAATGCTAGAAAGCACAGAAAAGTTTATAAGAAAAGGTAAGTATTACCACATCCAACCCTTGCACCTGCATTCCCAGTTGTCTTGCTAAGTTCATGTCCACCTGCCCATTATTTTGAGATTTTCTAAGAAATTGTTTCAATACAGGTAAAAAAAACAGGCATCTATATGACAATTGTTTCATTCCAAGATAAGAAAATGATTAAAAGAAATGTTGGAGATATATACATCCAAATGAACAAACAACTAATCAGGAAAATGACTCCACTTTACAGCATTGCATCTCAACCTATTCAAAAGTTCCGTTGTTCACTACTCTCCAAGTTGTCCCCATTCAACAAAGAGGTAGTAATAGATTTCCTGTAGTGTGCCTCCAAAAATTTAGTAGCTCTACTTCTAAGCAAATTCAATTCAGTTGATGTTAAACACCAAAGACATAGTACACCATAAATCTCCAGCCATTTAGACAATGTCCAGCCATGACGAGTTCCTCCATCCTCTTATCACATGTAGAGCCAAATAACAAAAATTCTCTTCTATTTGACTAGATAAACGCCCATTCCAGGCATGCATCTGAACTTGCGGCTTAACTGTGAATTACACAATTTCTTGCTGAAAATATGGACACTAGAGTATGCCCAAAAATGTCTCCTAGAGACCTACTTAAGTGGGAACATTACAAGACAGATCTTTTATATATCACTCTTTTGGACTTTCTTCTACTTTATAAATTCCCTATAAAACTACTTCACGTCACACAATCACAGAAATTAGTTTCATTCTATGCAAAGTTTCTGATGGGGAAAGATCAAGCCAAGATGATCATTCTAAAACAAATTTTGAGATAAAATTAGCAGCTCATGGATCATGATGCATATGTTTCTGATGTAGAAAGCCCGTCGAGGGCACCGACGGTTGATAAATATGTACATGTTTAACTGAACTTCTTAGGATATCCATTCAGTGCTCACCCTAGTTCATCCCCAAAATTCAGTCAATAAGAACGCAACAAGCAACATATAGAAGTGAAAGTAAGTTTGAATCAGGAGATATAAGCTAGTCCATATTAGCTTAAAAACTAAAGGGCACTCAAGTTGCTTACTAACATTAAGCACATATACAAGCATAAACGGATAAGAATTTAACAAGGCACAAGTTTATTGAAACCAAAGCTGGAAGCCTTTACCTTTTCCAAGATCATCAGGATCAGCATGCACGACAACAGCCCTCCCCAATATTGAATGCATCCCACTCAGTGGTATCTAGAAGCAAAACCCAGAGAGAGACGCTCAATAATTGAAGTGAAAATTCACTGAGTCAAACTTTTTTTTGAGACCAAAGAATTGAAGAAACCAAGGGCATCTGTGCAACCCGGCACAAAACCATTAGACTGAGAGTTTCATGGCATTTGATAATTCCAAAATTTTCAAGATCAAATAACTTGAGCCAATACCAAACCAAGCATCAAATTATCAAAAAACTTTCAAGTTCGTCTAGAGGAATGAAGTAATCAAGAGCATGAAAGTTGAAAGAATTCTAAACCAAAAGAGACTACCATCTAACCCCTTACGATATTTAATTGTTAATACCTGCAAGTCTTTGATTGAAACCTCTGCAACACCTGCAGCGTGAAAAAATGAAGCTAAAATCTGTCCCTGGTTCTCTAACTTGCCAAATTCATATAGAAATTAAGAAACGGCACTTACCATCAGAACCTGCAATGATGTTCCCCAAATCTCCAGCATGACGTTCGTTGTCACTTGGAGCTCCATGGTCCTTCTTTAGTGGATTGAAATGAGGTCCTAGCATTTAAGTACGATCATAAGAGGATTTTACAACCATGGACTAAAACTGCAGCAATCCAAAGCAAAAGGTACACAAAAGATAAGAAATTTATGAGCCTAAAATCAAAATGGAGTTGCTAGACTTTAAATTAAAACTCAAATTTGAAAAGAAGTGCCAACAATAACAACAAGAACATAATCTTGCAATCAATAGAAGATAACCCACTTAAAAGATAATCATCATGATCCAAAAATCAGCACCTACTGCTCTAATTTTAAAATCCCAGTTCAAATTCAACAAGATAGTTACATATAGTCGTGCATATATACAGCAGCCAGCCAACAAAAAACCCCACTTATAGAATTTAAGAAACGGTAAACGTCAACCAATGACAAGTGGCAACACAAACATATATACAGAAGGAGAGAGTACCAGTGGAATTGCAGCCGTTGGTGGTGTCACCAAGAGCATGAATATGAAAGCCGTGAAGGCCCGGAGATAAGCCAGCAATCCTCCCTGTCACATGTGTTGCCCCTGTACACACACACAAATATCATGTTTCATGCAGATACAATCAAGAAAAGAACCATGCTTTCTTTTCTAAACAAAATACAGATAGAAAGTGTGTGAGAGACCGTTTGGTTCTTGAACGAAATGAAGAGAGCCTCTAACATTGGAGGCTCCGGTGATAAGAGCCACCGCTTTCACAGATCCTGTTGCCATTTTATCTTTGATGTCACTGTTCCTTATGCCTCTCAGGTTTTAAAATGTAAGACATTTATATATATTATTATAAATATAAATATCAAGGAAAGAAAATACACATACACACATAAAGAAGTGTTCAAAAACGCGCATAAATTTCATTTTCAAGGTAGGATCTTACTGTTTTTATGTGTTTTAAAATTTTCCAGTAAGCATATTATATAACATTGATAATCTATTATTAAAAATCCCCCCTTCTCTTTGTTGGATTAGCCTCTCCTCAAGAACAGAAAGCAAGCGCCCTTGGTTTTCTGAATACCAGAAAGAGTATAATATATACTTATTTTTTAGCCCTCTGGTTTTGCTAATGTTCCACCTCAATCTCTATACTCTTTAAACTTCCTAATTTTATCCCTGGATGTCACCACATATTGGTGTTTAAATAGCTAGTAACTAGCTTTAAAAATATTTGTTATTCACCAAGTAAGGATTTCAAGTTAATTTTTAACATGATAAAAAAATATAACAATGTCGTGTTTTATTGTATCATTTTTAATTAAAAAACATGAAAAATACTATTTATTTTTAATAAAATAAATTTTAAAAATAGTATAATCGATTAACTTAATTTCTTCATGTAAAATTGAGTGCTAATAAATAACGTGAAAACTTGCTAAAAAAACAATTTAAAATAAATTATTACAAGTAAACATAATGTTTGAAGATAAGATAAAAAAATCAATAATTAAAAATTAAAAAAAGAAAAGAAATAACACTATTAAAACTCACAGTACGCATCTTTTAGGTTTCCTTTACTCTTTTTTTTTTTTTTTGAACTGCAAAGATAATATCGGAAGATTTTAAATTAGGGGGATGGAAATAAAACATTGATGAATCATTTGTGCGGAGAACATGGATTCACGAGATCGTAAAATCCAAACAAGCAGAACCATTGAACCTTGGGCCACAAGCTGATCCATAGTCAATCTTTTACTCCTGTGAATAGGCACCGCACCACCACCTACTCTTTCCGGTGGGGTTAGGTTATGATTTAAATTATTTTTTATTTAAAAATATATTAAAATAATATTTGTTTTATTTTTTAAAATTAATATATTAAAAGAATTCAAAATATTAAAATTTAATTTTCAATAAAAAATAAAAAATTAAAATTTTAAAAATACGAGATGGATCCCATTTCCAAACCATACAAAATGGATTATCATGGGCAAAAATCTTCTTCTTGTTGATGTTCTTGTCTGTGGCGTTATATTCAAGAATTCAAAATATCTTGAAGCCAGATCCCTAAAGTTTTGTCTCTGCTTCAACATATCTTTTCGTCCTTATTCTTTTTCATTGTTTTTCTTCATTCCAACATATCATAGACAAGATTTTTTTGGAATTGTAGTCCAACAGTGTTTTTTTAAATAAACAATTAGCTTTAAATTAAGTTTATATATATATATATATAATAGAAAAATGCAAGTGGATTAGTTCAATTATTGATTGAAGTGTGTCTTAAATGTGACATGTTAGGATGAAGTCAAAGAAATGAAAACGTGTGTGTAATCTATTTAAGAGAGAAGAGTTAGTTTAAAGCTGAAACCTCGTCATCACAAAAAAAAAATCAACAAATTGCTTTAATAATATGGATTCTTTTTTCAATTAACAAAGTATATTAAAAATATTGATTTAACAGCATAGTTGGAAAAAATTAGTGAAATAAATATAATATTTAAAATAATAATATTAAATAAAAATTATTAAATGAAAAAAAAGACCTAAGAGATACATTGAATCTTTAATTACGATATCATAATTACCAATAAAATTTTTTTGATAAGATAAATCCAATAATATTAAAAAAATTATTAAAAATAACACAAGTAGATTATATTTGTTATTCAAAGATAAAAAGTAACTCATCTATCTTTTATAATAAATATGATTTACTCGAATTATTATTGATAATATTTGTTAATATTATTGAATTTATCTTATTGATATCTTTTTAAAAATACTTATAATGTTGTAATTGTATCATAGATGTCTTTCGGCAATAAGTTATAAATATCACATTTTTTAACTATTTGATTTTTTGTATTTGTGTTAATTTACAATTATTTTTTTAAAATATCCTAATAGCCAATAATACAGTGTCCGAATTAGTGCATCCATGAAGGTTTGCAATCTTAAACGTACTCCATTAAATATTGTTATTCAAAGATAAAAAGTAACTCATTTATCTTTTATAATAAATATGATCTACTCATATCATTATTGATAATATTTGTTAATAATATTGAATTTATTTTATTAATATCTTTTTTTTTTTGATTTACGTGAGGTGTCCGGGCCAGCTTACGCGCACCACGACTAATCCCCACGGCCCACTGA